TTCTCCATCTTCCTTCTACTCTCTCTCTCCCCTCTTCTTCCCTCTCTTCCCTAGTCCTCCTCTCCTGTCTCTTCTCTACCATCTCTCTCCCTCCTTCTTCCTCTCCTTCTCTCTCTCAATCCTCTCTCCCACTCCCCCCCCCCCTCTCTCATTCTCTCCCTCCTCCTTCCTCATCTCTTCTCCACATACTCTCCTCTTCTCACATCGGGCCCCACTCTTCTCCCTTCCTCCACGCCTTTCCCTCCTAGTCGTCCTCCCCTCTCATCATCCTTCTCTTCTCTTCTCCCTCTCCTCTCTCTCTCCTCAACTCATTCCCTCTCTTCCTCTCTTCTCTCCCTTACTCCTCTCTCCCCACTCTCCTCTTCCTTCGTCTCCCCCTCTCTCTCCTCTTCATCGTCCTCCCCTCTTCTCTCTCTCCTTCCTTCCTCTCTCCTCATTTCCCTCTCCCTTCATCCTCCTTTGCTCCTCTCCCCTACCTCCCCCCTCTCCACCAGCCCTCTCTCCTCCATTGTTCCCCTCTCCTCTCTCCTTCCTCCCTCTCCTCCTTCCCTCTCTCCTATTATCTTCACTCTTTTCCCTCTCCTCTACCGGTCCTCATCTCCTCTCCCCTCCTCTCCATCCTCCCTTCCTTCTTGCTTTTCTTCGAAACTTCCCTCTCTCCTACCCCTCCTCTCCTCCCCGTTCCCTTCTCATTTATACCTCTCTCTCTCATCTCGTCATACTCTCCTCGTCCTCTCCTCTCTCCTCTCTCCTATCCTCTCCCTCTCTTCGCCTCCTCCACTACTCTCCTTCTACTCGTCTCAGTCCCCTCTCACTCACTCCCTCTTTTTCCTTTTTCTTATCCCTCTCTTCTCTCACCCCCCCTCTCTCTCTCGTCCCCTCTCCTTCTCCCTCTCCTCCCCTCTCCCTCCTCTCCCTCTCTCTCTCTCCTTCTGCTCTCCTAATCTCTTCCTCTCTCTCTCTTCATTCTCCCTCCCTCTTCTCTCCTCGCTTCTCTCACGCTCATTTCTCCCCTCTCCTCTCTCCTTCTAGTATCTCTCCCTCCTCATCTCCTTCCTCTCACTTCATCTACTTCTCCCTCTCGCTCCTCTCTCCACAGTCCACGATCCTCTCTCTTCCTCTCCACTCATCTGTCTCTCCTTCTCCCTCTCTCTGCTCTTACATTCTCTCCTCTCCTAACTCTCTCCTCTCCTCACTTACTCCTCTCTCCTCTCTCTTCTCTCCCATCCCCGTCCCTCTAGCTCTCTCTCCTCCTCATCCTCATCCCTCCTCTCTTCTCGTCTCCATCTCTCCTCCCCTCTTCCTCGTCCCACCTCCATCCTCTTCTCTACCCTCTCTTCTTCCACCTCTCATACTCCTCCTCTCTCCTCTCTCCGTTCTCCCTCCAACTCACTCCCTCTCCTCCTCTCCTCTCTTCCCTCTTCCCCTCTCCTAACTCACATCCTCCTCATCTCTCTCTCCCCTCTCTCTCTCCTCTCTCCTCTCCCCCCTCCCTCTCACATCCCTCTCACCTCTCTTCCTCCTCCCATATCTCCCCTCTCCCCTTCCTCCCCTCTCTCCCTATCATTCCTCCCCTCCCTCTCGAGCCTCCCCTCTTCCTCCTCCTCCACTCACTCTCTCTCCTTCGTGCAGCTTCACCTCCTTCCCCTCTCTTCTCCCCCCCCGCTCCTCCCCTCAACACCCCCTCTCTCCCCTCTCCCCTCCCTCACCACCGCTCCCCCTCATCCCTCTCTACTCCTCTCTTCGCCCTCTCCCTCTCCCTCCCCCTCTCGTTCCTCCCCTCCCTATCCCCTCTCCTCCTCACCCCCTCTCTCCCTCACTCTATCTCACTCTCATCTCCTTCCGACCGACTCTCATCCTCCTCCTCCCCCTCTCATACCATCCCTTCCTCATCACACTCCTCCCCTCCGTCCTCCCCTCTTCTCTACTCCGCTCTCCCCTCTACCGCCCCCCCCGTCCCTTCGCTTCCCCTCTCCACCTCTCCCCTCTCTCCCCTCTTCCCCTCCTCAGCTCCCACCCCTCCTCCCTCACTCCCTCACCCCTCTTCTCATCTCTCCCCTCGTCCCATCTTCCTCCACTTCCCTCTCTCTGTCTCTTGTTCAATTCCCCTCCCCTCCTCACCCCTCATCCCCCTCTCCTCCCCCTCTCCTCTCCCCCTCTCCCCTCTTCCACTCAGCTCCCCTCTCTCTCGTCTCCTCTTCACTGTCCACTAACTTTCTCCTCTCGTACTCACCTCTCTTCTCCCCTCCCTCTTCTCCCCCTCCCTCTCCTCACTCCTCCACTCTTCTCTCCTCTCTTCCCCTCCTATCGTTCTCTCTCATCTCGGTCCCCTCCCCAGTCCTATCCTCCCCTCCTCTCCCTTTCCTTCCCTCCTATCTCGATCTTCCCCAATTGTCCTCTCCCCTCCGTCTTCTCTCTCTCCCCCCTCTCTATCTCCCTCTCCATTCCTCTCAATCACTCCCCCTCGTCTTCTCTCCCCTCTCATCTCCTACGCTCCCCTCCTCTCTCGCTCATCATCCTCTCCAATCCCCTCCCTCTCTCCTCTTCCTCCCCTCTCATCTTCTCCCCATCGCCCTCCTCATATCCTCTGCACTCCCCTCCCCTCTCCGCTCCCCTCTTCTCCTTCTCTCTCACCCTCTAATCACTTCCTGTCTCTTCCATCTCCTCTCCTCTCTCTCCTTCACTCCCAATATCACTCTCTTCTATATTCTATCATCATCTATAATATAGACTACATAATTAAGCTAATAAACTCTATAGTCAAGATATAGATAAGATATTATAAAATCTCTCAATACTCTCAAACTCCACCCTCTCTGAAAAATATATAAAATAAAACAAAACGATAATAACCTACTCACCATCTAATAGAATACAAATATAACATATCACCGATTCTCCCATCTGTCTCTCTACATCACAACTCTCAATTCTCATCCATATCCTAAACTCACATCTCCTCACCATCTCCATCATCACTATATCTTCCCTCGTCTCTCCGCCCTTCAGACATGTACTACAGAGACCTCCGGTGTCACTGTATCACATAATCTACAACCCTCCGCCATACCATTATCCTCCAGCAAATCTCTCTCGTCCTGTATTCACGACTCTCATTCAATCTCTCTCCCCTTCTCACTCTACGCTCCTCCTCTCACGTCTCCCCTTCTCTCTTCTCACCTCTCCTCTCGCTCTCCTCTCTCTCCCTCTCTTCTCTTCCCTCTCGTCTCTATCTCCTCTTCTCATTCTTTCTTCTCAACTCTCTCTCAGTCCTCTCCTCCGAACTTCTTCTCTCGTCCTCTCCTTCTCTCTTCTCTCTCGTCAGTTCAAATTTCTCTTCAGCCTCCCTCTTCCATACTCGTCCCCCCCTCAGCTCTCTCCTCTCCTCTCCCTCCCCTCCTCCTCCTCTCTCCCGCTCCTCTCTCCTCCTCTCGTCTCTTCCCCCTCTCCTCCCATCCCTCTCTCCCTCCCTCCTCTCCTCTCCTTCTCCGTAACCTCTCCTATGCACTCCTCTCCTCCACCACATCCGCCTTCCTCTCGTCACCTCCTCTTCTTCTCCTCCTTCAAGCACTCTTCTCCACCTCCCTCCTGTCCTTCTCCCTCTCCTCCTCTTCACTATCCATCTCACCATCTCCTCTCTTCACCTCCCCCTCCTTCTCTTCTATCTCGTCCGTCTCCTCGCTCCCCTTCTTTCCTCTCTGTCTCTCCTTCTCTCCCCCTCTCCCTTTCCTCCTCCCCTCTCCCCCTTCCCGTCTCCCCTCCCCTCTCTCTCATTCCCCCTCGTCCTCCCCCTCTCTCGTCCTCTCCAGTCCTCTGTTCTTCAGGTCCTCACTCTCTCCCCCTCAATTACATTCTCCACCTCTCCCTCTCCTCCCTCCCCTCTGTTCCTCTCTCCTCTTCTCTCCCCCTCCCCTATCCCCCCTCCCCCTCCTCCCCTCCTTCTCCCCTCTCTTCTGCCCCTCTCACTCCTCTCTCCCTAATCTTCCTCTCCTCTCCCTCTCCCCCTCTTTCTCCCACCCCTCTCTCTTCACTCTCCCTCCCCTCCTCCCTCCCGACCCCTCTCATCCACTCCGCCCTCTCCTCATCTCATCTTCTCCCCCTCCATGTCTCTCCATATCTCCTCGTTTCATCCCCTCTCTCTCCACCCTCTCTCTACTCCTCTCTACTCAGCCCCTCTCTCCCTCCTCCTTCCTACTCTCTTCCGTCTCCCTCTCTTCGTCTCTCCTTCTCACTCCCCTCTATCTCCTCTACTCCCCTCCTCTTCCGCTCGTCCTCTCTACTCACTCCTCTCTCCTGTTCTCTCCCTCTTGGTCCTCTCCTCTCTCTCCCCCGGCCCTTGTGTTTTGATTTCTCCTTCTCTCATCCAAACCATCTCCTTCGCTCCCCTCTCCCTTTTCCCTCTCCTCCTCTCGGTCTGGTCTCCCCCTCCTCTTCCTCTCCTCTTCCTGTACTCGTCGCTCTCTTCCCTCTCCTGTCCGCCTCCTCTCCTACCTCTCCTCTCTCTCTCCATTCCTCTCCTTCTTCTTCTCCTCTCTCCCTCTCCCTCCTCACTCTCCCCTCTCCTCATCCTCTCCCCTCTCCTCTCTGATCACTCCTCTCCTCTCTCGCTCTCTCCACCTCTCACTACTATCCCCCTCCCTCTTCCCCCTCTCTCCCTTTCTCCCTCAGTTCAACCTCTCCCCCTTCCTCTCTCTCACTTCCCTCTTCCTCCTCCTCTCTCTCTCCCTCTCGGTCCTCCCCATCACTGACCCCCTCTCCCTCCTCATCCCCCCCTCTCTTCCCAAATCTCCAACTCCCCCCTCTCCCGCCCGCTAAAATATAAAACACATTTACCCCACATATAAAAACCCCTCAGTCTCCTTCCTCCCCAACTCCCCCCCCCCGCTAATAAATAAAAAAAAATAAACGCCCCAAAACCAAACCTACTATAAAACCCTCCCGCAATAATATAACCCAAAATCTCCCCGCTATAAACCCCCCAAAAATATATTTAAACAAACTTACAACCGCCTCCTCTTAGACCCCCCCCCCCCCCTAAAACCCCCAACCCAACCCAAAAAAAACCCACGTGGTCTACCACATGATCTCTTCTCTGACCCCCCCCACATTCTCCCCCCAATAACTCCCTCCTCTCCCCTATAAACCCCCCCTCTTCCGCCCTCTCTGCTTCTTCCTCCCCCCCTCCTCACGTTCTCATCCCCACACTCTCCTACTCCTCGTCCCCTCCTCTTTCTCTCCCCTCTCCTTCCACCTCCTCTTCCTCTCTTGTCTCCACCCTCCCACATCCATCCTACTTATCTACTCCCCTTCTCCCTCACACATCCCCTCCCTTCTCTTTCCGCCTCTCTCTCTTCTTCTCCTCCCTCACTCTGGTCCTCTTTCTCCCCACCCTCGTCTCTTCTCTCCCTCTCCATCTCCCCTCCCTCGTCTTCCTCTCCCTCTCCCCTTCTACCGCCTGCTAAACCCTCTCTCCCCCACAACCACCTTCTCACAACCCCCTCTCTCCTCTCCTCGGCGTCACCCCCTCACCCCGTTCTCCTCCTCCTCATCTAGACCCAACCCTCGTCACCTCTTCCAAATATAACCCTCTCTTCCTCGGTACAAGGAAGTGGGTAATAATACGCAACCTCTCTTGTCGTCCCTCCCCAACCCTCACTCCCCTCTCACTTCCTCACTCCTCTCTCTCTCTCCCTCTCCCTCACAACTCCTCTCACCTAACCCCTCCCCTCTCACAGAATAGGTCTCTCAATCCTCTCCAGACCTCCCCCCTCTCTTCTTGTCTCCCCTCCTCACCCTCGCCTTACCCCTCTATCTCCCCTCTCACTACACCCTCTCTCTTCCTCTCACCTCTACATCTCTCCCCCCGGTCCTCCTCCTCTGCTTCTACTCCCGTTCTCCTCACCCCCTCTCTACCCCCCCTCGTTCTAATCTGAAAAAGCCCCGATCTCCTACTCGTCTCCCCTCCCTCTCATCTCCCTCTCCCCCAACCCCCCAATCTAACCCCCTCTCTCCAACTCTCACTTCTCTCCCTTCTCTCTCTAGTCCATGTCTCAGCCTTCTCTACAAACCCGCTCATCCCTTCTGTCTCCCTACCACCAACCACTCTCTCCCACCCTTACCTCTCCGTCTCCTTCTTCTCCCATCTCGTCCTCCTCCTCCACCCTCCATCCCATCTCCAACCTCTGTTAGTCTCCCATCTTCACTCCTCCCTCCTCCCCCTCCTTACCTTCCTTCCCCCTCCGGTCCTCCCTCTCTCCCTCTCAACCCCCCCTCTCTTCTCCTCCATACCCCCCAAACCTCTCTCTCCTCTCAACACCCCCTCCTCCTCCCCCCCTCTCTATCACCTCTCTCTCCTCTCTCCCCCCTCTGCTCTCTCCACAACCACCTCACCCTAATACCCCCCTCTCATCTCCCGTCTCCCCTCTCTCTTCGTAACTCTCTCCGTTCCCTTCCCTCCACCTTCTCTACCCCGTCCCTTCTCATCCGACCTCTCTCCCCTCGACTCCTCTCTCTCCCTCTTATCACCCCCCCTCTCCCCCCATCTCCGTCTCCCCCTCACGCCTCTCTACTCTCCCCACTCATATCTCCCTAACCCCGCCTCTCCTCTCTCTCACCTCTCCTCGCACCCCTACCCCCACTCTCACTTCTCCCCATCTCTCCTCTCCACTCCCCCCTCTCTCACTCACTCCTCCTCCCTCTACTTTTCACCCCCTCTTCTTCACATCCTCCAAGCATCCATCCTCTCTCCTCTCGCCACCCCTATCCATCTCTCTTCCCTCACCTCTCATCCCCCTCGTCTCCCTCATCCCCCTTCTTCTCATCGTCTCTCAAAACCGCCTCTCATTATTTCTCTCATCTCTCCCGATCTTCGTCTCCCCCCCCAACCCCTCTCCTCTCCCCTCTCTCCCCTCTCCCCTCTCCCTCGTTCAATCCCTCCTTCGTCTTCCTCTACCCCACTCCCGCCTCTCCTCTTCTTCTCTCTCTCAGTCTCCCCCATCTCCCCTCCTCCGTCTCCCTCCCTCGTCTCCTCCCCTTCAGTCTGTCATCGCCCAAAACCCACCCTCCCTCTCTCACTCCTCTTCTCTCTTCCTCCTCAAAAACCCCCGGCTACCACCCCCCTCCTCTCTCCTCTCTCACTCCCACTCTTCTCCTCATCATTCGTTCCCACAAATCATCCCCTCTCCATCTACTCTTCCTCCCTCCCCCTCTCTCCCCTCCTCTCCCATCGTCTCCTCTCATCTCTCTCTCTCCTACTCCCCTCTCTCCACCTCTCCTCCTCCTTTCTCACCGTCGTCCCCCCCCTACCCCACTAACCTAACCAACCCCTCGATCATTCTCTATCCCCTCCTCACCTCTTCCTCCTCCTCTCTTCCTCCTTCTCCTCCTCCTCACCGAGACCCTCTCCTCCCCCCCTCTCTCCCCTCCCCCTCGCTCCCTCTCCTCACCCCTCTCCCTTTCTCTCCTCTCCCCTCTCTATCCCTCCTCTCCCCTCCCCTCCTATCTCGCCCTCTCCCTCCCCTATCTCATCTTCTCCTCCCGCCTCTCTTCTCTCTCCCTCATCAACTCTGCCTCACTCCTCTCTCTCTCTCTCTCTCCCCTCTCACCCTCTCTCGTTCTCCCTCAATCATCTCATCCTCCCTCCTCCCCTCCAGTCTCCCAACTTCTCTCTCTCCCTCTCCCTCTCTCCCCCTCATCTAGCCCCTCTCCATCTCTCATTCTACCCTCCTCCCCTCGGCCACCCTCCCTCCTCACCTCCCCTCCTATCCCCTCTCCCCTACTCTCCTCATCCTCTCCCACCCGCCACTCCCTCCCCCTCTCCTCGGTATCCTCTCTCCTCTATCGCCATCTTTCCTGCTTCCTCTCCGTCCCCTCTTCCTCTCCTCATCTTACTCCTCTCTCCTCTTATCCCTCTCTCTCCCATCTCTCCTATCTCTCCCCTCTCTCCTCTTCTCTCACCTCTCTCTCCCCTTCTCCCCCTCTCCTTCTCCATCTCTCTCTCTCTCTCCCTCACCTCTCTCTACCCTCCTCTCTTCTCCGCCCTCCATCTCTCCTCTACCTCCTCTCATCCTCCTCCCGTCTTCATGTCGTTCTTCCTCCCCTCTTCCACCTCCTCTCTTCCTTCACTTCTCCCGCCTCCCTCTCTCACTCCTCCCTCTCTCCAGCCCTCCTCTCTCATTTCTCTCTCCCTCTCTTCTCCATCTCTCCCTCTCCCCTCTCCTCTCCCACCTCCTTCTCCACCATCCTCCTCATTTACCACTCCGTCTCCTCTCTTCTATCTCCTCCTCTCTTCTCTCCTCTTCTCTCCCCTTCTTCATCCGTCCTCTCTCATCTCTCCTCATCTCACTCCCCTCGTCCTCTCTCCTCTCCCTCTCCCTCTCCCCCCTCTCCCCTCTCTCTTCCTCTCAATCCCCTCTCGCCTCTCACCTTCTCTCTCCTCTACTTTCCCTCCTCCTCTCTTCGTCCTCCTCCATGCCTCCTTCTCCTCTACCCCCTCTCCTCTCTCACTTTCTCCCACTCTCCATCTCTTCTCATCTCCTCCTCCTCTTCTCTCCCCTCTCTCATCTCTCCTCCCTCTCCTCCCTCCTCTCTTCCCCATCCCCTCTCTTCTCTTTCCTTTCTCCTCCTAGATCCTCCTCATCTCTCATCTCTCTCTCCCCTCTTCCCCTCCTCCTCTCCTCTTCTTCTGTCTTCCTCTCCTCTACTCTCTCCTTCTCAACCTCTCTCTCCTCTCTTCTCTCTCGTTCTCCCCCTCTTCCTCTCCGCTACTAAATCCCCCTCCTCCACCCTTCCACCTCCTCTCCTCTTCGCTCTCTCTCTTGCCCACCCCCTTCCTCCTCTACGATCTCTCTATCCTCTCCCCTTCCCTCCGCTCTATCCTCCTTTCTCCTCCTCTCCCCTTCATCCTCCTCTCTTTCTCTCTCTCGTCTCTCTTCTCCTCCTTACTCCTCCTCTTCTACTCTCTTATCTATCCCCCGCCCTCTCGCCTCTCCTTCTCCTCTCTCTCCCCTCCTTCCTCTATATCTCCACCTCTCCAACGCTCATATCCCATCTCCTCATCTCCTCTCTACTATCGTTTCTCCATCATTCTCCCTCTCTCTTCTCTGTCCACTCTTTCTCTCCTCCCTCCCTCTCCCCCCTCTCCTCTTCTCTTCTCCATACTCTCCTCTACCTTCTCTCCCTCTTCCTCTACTAATACTCCTTCCTTTTCCCTCTCCCTCCTCTCTACCCTCTCCATTCTCTCCTTCTCTTTCTCTCCCCTCTCTCCTAGCTTCCTCTCTTTCCCTCTCGGCTCCTCTCTTCTCCTCGTCCTCGTCTCTGCTTCCCCCTCTCTTATTCGCTCCTCCCCTCCTCGGTCCCATTCGGGTCTCCTCCTCTCTCCCCTCTCCGCGTCCTTGCCCCTCTCGTCTCTCTCGTTCTCTCTCCTCTCTTCCCTCCGTCCCTCTCCCGCTCTCTCCTTCTTCTCTCCTCCTCAATCCTCCCTCTTTCTTTTCTCTTTCTCCTCCTCTCCCTCTCTCCCCCTCAAACCTCTCTCACTCACCCTCTCCTCTCCTATCCTCCCCACCCGTCCTCTCTCTCTCCTCTCCTCCTCCCTCCCCACTCCCTCCTCATCCCCTCTCAAGGGTCTTCTCCCTCTCCCTCTTCTTCTACACTCTCCCCCTCTCCACCTCTCCTTTCTCCTCGCTCTCTCCTCTCCTCCACTCTACTCCTCTCCTAACATCTCCTCACTCTCCTTTCTCATCACTCTGTCCTCTCCCTCTCTCCCTCGTTCCCTCCCCTCGTCCTCCATCTCACTCCCTCCCCTCTTCTACCTCCTCTCTCTCCCTCTCCTCTTTCCCTCCACGCAACCATCCTCCTCTTCCTATATCATCTCCTCTTCTCTCATCCCTTCGTTCTCTCGAATCCTCTCTCTCCTCCTCCTCGTCTCTCAGCCATCGTCACGTCTCCTCTCTTCCCCTCTCTCTACTCTCTCACCTCTCCCCCTCATGTCCCCTCGAGTTATCTTTTCACTCTCACTCACTCTCCCCTCTCTGTCTCTCCTTCCTCACCTTCCCCTCTCCTTCTCCTTTTACATCCTTGCCTCTCATCATCCTCGTCTCTCCCCTCTGCCTCTCTCTCTCTCTTCTCTCCCTCCTCTCCTCCCATCTCCTCCTCCCCTCCCCCCTCCGTCCTCGTCTTCTCCATCATCCTCCTCTATTATCTCTCCTTCTAATCCTCTCCTCGATATCTATTATATCCCTCTCATCTCTCCGACCCCTCTCCCCTCTCTCTCCCACCTCCCCCTCTCTCCCCTCTCCTCCTCCCTCTCCTCTCCCCCTCTCCCCCCCTCTCCTCGCTCCCCTCTCTCCCTCTCCCATCCAATCCCCTCTCTCCGCACTCTCCTCTATCTCTCACTGCTATTTCTCTCTCTCCCCGCTCTTCTTTTCTCCCCCCTCTCTCCTCGGGTTCTCTCCCACCCCGCCTCCCTGTACCCGCAAGCCGTTGGCCGTGAATTAGCATTTCCGTCTCCCCTACTTCCCCGTGATCCCGCCGGCAGCCCCCGGTCCCCGCGGCGGTTAGGAGACGACGCCAGCTCCCCGCGGCGGACCCCGTTCAGTGCAGACCTATCGGGGGGGGGGGGTGGCCTCTCGCGTCCTCTCAGCCTCATTATTTCAGCACACATCTTTGTCGGCCGATTGGCACCTTCTCCGTGACAGGACCTCGCCCACAGTGGCAGACGCGGCTCTTTCATCCTGTTCTCGTGATTAGTGCGTTTTGTCAGTGTCACTTCTGAGACAGACTTTTATATTCTCCAATGAAGAAAAGTGCAGATGTTTGAAATAGTTTGTTCTTTTTATATATTCATTTAGATCGACGTATTTATTTGGACATTGATATATAAACATGAAAAGAGATTTTCTATTACGCCAATGCCTCTCTCTAGTTTCTCACTCTGGTTTCTCTCTCTTCTCTCTCTGGTCTCTTTCTGGTCTCTCTATACACTTTTTTTTAAGTTTTTGTTCAGGATTTAGACTTTGTTACTTATCTTGTGTTGAAGGAGGAAAAGTTTAGAAGTGTAAATATACCTGCTATGAGCTTTTTTTTAATTAATCCAAGATGCTGGCATTGATGATCACCAGGGGTCCTTTTAATTAGTGATTTGGTTGGAGTCAGATTTTGACAAATTTAATCGCCCAAAGGATTCCCTGGATGCTTTTTATTTGTCTTGTCACTGGAAAACTGATTTGGAGTGGACACTTTTACAGGAAATAACAGTGATTAATGGTTGAATGAAACAATTCTGCTCTGAATGAATACATTAAAGGACAATCCCAATTTATTTTAAAGACCAATGAGAGAGACCAGAGGAGAAGACAAGAGAGAGACAAGGAAGAGACCAGGGAAAGACCAGAGAGAGACCAGAAAAAGACAAGAGAGAGAGACCAGAGAGAGACCAGAGAGAGACCAAAGAGAGACCAAAGAGAGACCAGAGAGAGACCATGGAGAGACCAGAGAGAGACCAGGGAAAGACCAGGGAGAGACCAGGGAGAGACTAGAGATAGACCGGAGAAAGAGACCAGAGACAGACCAGGGAGAGAGACCAGAGAGGGAGAGTTTTTATTGCGTTTTTTTGTTTTTCTTACCAACGCCATCAACAAAAGTATCAGAAATTATTTTCTTTTCATAGTTCTTCAGCTCGAATTCTGAAACCAAAACACACAAAACACACCAAAACACACATCCAATCCTACTTCACAAAAACCGGCGGTAAACTTTCCCCCGTCACCCCAAACAGTCGATCTTTCAAACCAACCCCACACACACACACACACACACACACACACACACACACACACACACACACACTCAGAACAAACAGCGGTTTTCCTGTGTAAATACCAAACCTCGTCACATCCCGGCTTCTCATTTACCTCAGTCAAACCTCGGCGACAACCTCTGCGACCGAGCGGGGATGTAGATCGCCCACCGATGCCGTAATTACCGCCACACCGGAGGGAAAAGGGGGCCCAATTTAGCGCAAGTCCTGGAGGTGGGAGCCCTGCTGATTGAGGAGTGAACTGATAAGGAGGGTAGGGCCGAGAGAGCGCGGACATCCAGCCTTCCATTAGGGCTGAGAGTGTGGCTTTCCCCAGCGGTAATGAGCCGGGGTAATATTTCGCGGTTTAGTTTGGCGGCGTAGGAGGTGTCTTCCATTTCACCTTGGGCTCTGCCGTTGTTTCATCAAAGACTAATGGTGGAACTTGCACCGCGGCGAGCACAGTGGTAGATCAGTGGCAAGCCGCGCATTCAAACCGGGGACCGCGGATAATGAATGTGTCCCGGTGATGTGCTGTCGAGCAGAAGGTCTGGTTAAGGCGGATGTGGGGGGGGGTAAGGCAAAGAGAGGCAGAGAAAAGTTGATTTGGACGGAGCAATTTGTACACACGGTAAAGTAAAAGGGTCCAAACTTTCAAAGTGTCATGTAGCAAGGGCAAGGAAAGTTTAATTGTAAATCACAGTTCATAAACAAGGCAACTCTGAGGGCAAAACCAAACAAGATACAGGTAAACAGACAAGATATTTAATTAATCGATAATCACAGTACATTAGAAATAGTGAAGACACAATCCTTCAGTTGTTGAAGCGAAACAGAATTGATATAACCTGGATTGGAACGTTGTCAGAGAAGAAGCCTGTCTCACATTTTCATGAAGACTTTTCCAGATTTTTATGAAATAAATTTGCCTGCCCATGTTCAGTCCTGACTCTGGGCACCAGCAGGAGGCCAGTCCCTGTGCTCCTCAGAGTCCCAGCAGGAGGCCAGTCCCTGTGCTCCTCAGAGTCCCAGCAGGAGGCCAGTCCCTGTGCTCCTCAGAGTCCCAGCAGGAGGCCAGTCCCTGTGCTCCTCAGAGTCCCAGCAGGAGGCCAGTCCCTGTGCTCCTCAGAGTCCAAGTAGGTTCATATTACACTATAATTTCATAAACTTTTAAGCAGAGCAGCCTCAATGTCTATTATCTGAGCCAAATGAAGCCATGTATTTAAGGTACTTGTGATCAATGACATATCAGCCATTCCTATTGTACAGTCTGACAGTAACAGAAAGGAAAGACCTGCAGAACCTCTCCTTCACACAGCGGGGTGGATCAGTCTGTCACTGCAGCTACTCTCGTCATGATCCAGCATAGATGTTAGTTTGTGCGGGAAGATTAGCTAGAGTAGCGCACCAAAGGAAAGAAAGGAGGACAGAGACGAAAACAGACATTTTATAGTTGGAGAGTGCCTCATAAATAAATTGGGATCTTGCTGTTTTAGAGAACCAAAACCAGCAAAAACATGGGTCATATGGTAACAAACTTGCGCACAAGAATGACAAAAATATGCTCCTTACACCAGACATGTCTAAACTCAGGCCCATGGGCCAATTGCGGACCTCTGTGATATTTTTAAGTGGCCCTTTGCTGCTAATACAAAGTCGCCGTTGAGGCACTTGTCATCCAACCAACTTCAGCTCCACCAATTCAGTCATGTTATACCTTGTTTGAAATCTCAGACCCTCTGGAATCCACTGGATGACTCTATTGTTATTTACTGACTTTTGTTTTATGATTGTGTCAAAACATTCCAAATAAAATGCAGTTGTTTTTATTTTAAATTCCAGAATCCAGTCAATCCAGCTCTAATCCAATTCTTTATATTCAGGTAGTCGGCCCCACGTCCCTAAAGTGACCCTCTCACTATAAAGTTTGGACACCCCTGCCTTGCACTAATATTGTAGAGCCCTATCTGAATGTTAGCAGCTCCGGTTCTCTTGGCAGTAGTAGAGGCCTCTCCCTGGTCCCACAGCAGCAGACAGTAGGTGGTTGCTGGTTGGTGGTTGGCTGTTGCGTGGCTCCTACGTTTCACTGAGATTGCGTTATGTCACGTTGCCCGCGGCGGTTGCCCCGGGATCGTCTCCGCTCAATCACAGACGCCGCTGACACCTCTGGTCCGGAGGGGAACGTGTCCGACGGAGAGAAGACGACTCTCACAGAAACACACTTCATACACTTTTCTCTGTTGGAGGAGACGGGTTATGAAGTCAAGGCAAACCATTAATCACAACTAATCGATTATTGAAATAGTGGTCACCATGGTGATGGTATCTTGAGCCTCACACAGACTTAAAATGTGCTGAGAAGAAGTCTATCAGGACTGAGAAAGAAAATGGAAATGATTTTGACCGGATTTATGTTTTTTATCCTACACTTTTAATGGATCACTTGAATCATTGTGTCTCTGCTTTTATGGATTCCAACTCGTCTTTCTCCAGTCTCTCCCTGGTCTCTCCCTGGTCTCTCCCTGGTCTCTCTCAGGTCTCTCTCTGGTCTCTCTCTTCTCTCTCTCTTGTCTCTCTCTTCTCTCTCTCTTGTCTCTCTCTTCTCTCTCTCTTGTTTCTCTCTGGTCTCTCTGACTGTTGCACTGAGCCAAAGCAATTTCCAAGTCTGTGTCTTCCTGTCACTTACGTGGCAATAATAATGATTCTGATTCTAGTCTCTCTCTGGTCTCTCTAGTTTTTCTCTCCAGTTTTTCTCTGGTCTTTCTAGTCTCTCTCTGGTCTTCCTGTAGCACTCAGTCCTGCTCCTTCCCCTTTGTCCTCTGCAGCTGTATTTTCTAGTGGATGCATGGCTTTTGACAGCTGCAGCAGACCTACAACCCACAGTTTTGATCTCTCTGGTCTCTTTCACTTCAGCAGTCGTGAGTTCAGGAGCTTAGAAAAGTGTTTTGGTGTAATTGTATTGTGTATAATGTATAATTACATAACCCAAGCAAGAGACCACCGTATACACACACACACACACACACACACACACACACACACACACACACACACACACACACACACACACACACACACACACACACACACAGTATCATTGAAACATATGAGTGAACATGATTAATCAAACGGCTACAGCAGAGAAGATCCAGTTCTCTATAACAAATATCTGATAGCATCTTCTCTGCATGTCCCGGTGGGTTCAACTCCTCCTTGATGAGACTGGAGTGTGTTTGATGAGGGTGGGGTGTGTTTGATGAGGGAGCCCTGATGCTGAGGCTCTTGAGGACCTCTCTGATCTGGGAGACCTCCACTGGGGGAGAGGAGGTCGAGACCCCAGTCCCATTCATCCAGCATTCCTCTGTCCCGTCCTGGTGGGTCGGCGCTGTGGGCTGCGATGGGCCTTTGAAGCCTCTGTGTGTGTGTGTCTCTCTGTATGTGTGTGTGTGTTTGTCTCTCTCTCTGTGTGTACGTGTCGATGTGTGTGTGTGTGTGTGTGTGTGTTTTTATCCCAGAGAGGCACAATCAGCTGTGTGTGTGTTTTTTCTTCCACTTGAATCAGTCGCCAGTAACTTTGCTTTCGTCTCAACTTTCAGGAATGCAGAGCTTGTATTGGCAAAGCAAGTTTATTAGTATAGCACAGTTCATACACAACTCAAAGTGATGAAAAAAACAAGATAGAGACGATCACACAAGACGATAACATCATACATAATCCTAACCCTAAGCCATTAAAAAAATACAGTTTTTACACAAGGGCGCAACAGTAGCACTTGGTAGAGCACCGGTCTTTGGACCTAATGGTTGTAGGTTCGAGTCCACCACGACCCATGTCACCTGCTCGCACTGATGTCTGCTGTCGTTGTGTCCCTGGGCAAGACACTTAACCCTACGTTGTCTGAAGCCCCCACTGAAACACCATGGCCATGTCTTCAATGACGGAGAAGCCATCGTCCTGTGGACCCATCACCTGCAGGAGGATCAGTGAGATTTGGGGCAGCTCTGATGGCCACCCCCTCACCCAGAAATGGATAATAAAGGGGTAAAGAATGAATGAATGAATGAGTTTTGAACATTTGAACATTATCAGAGAAGAAGCCTTTCTTACTTTTTCAGGAAGACTTTTCCAGAAATTCTGACTGTCTTAAGAGTATTGCCCCCGACCTTCAAGAACCCAAAGCCTCATATTTCAGATTGGAAGGAAAACGTCTCCTGCAGCCATTTACATTTCAGAACATTCTGCTCTTAAACGTGGAGGATATTCCTCCACGTTGAGGATAAGAGGATATTCCCACATTTTAGGAAAAAATTACCCTCCCCACTTTTTGAACAAAACTTTCTGGTCTTATTGGACGAGGACATGTTGCCAGAATGATTGACAGTTAGGAGAACCAATCGCAGGTCTTGATAATCCAGCCGGAAGTAGAAAATCCTTCCGATAGTCCAAATGCAATCCCATGAACCGGATGCTGATGGCTTTCTGATCTTTGGATGGAGACTAAGGACAGTTCTTGGCTGTATTTTCAATATTGACTTGTTCTATTTATTCAACTTTTGCGACAACAAACACTGAGGTCGAAGCGATATCTTGTCTCTGTAATTGGATAATCGGCTTGACAATAAGTAATATTTTTTTATTTGTCTCTTTCTAAATGTTTAATTTTAAGGGGACGAGTGAGGTGGCTCGGGCATCTGTTCCGGATGCCTCCTGGACGCCTCCCTGGGGAGGTTTTCCGGGCACGTCCCACCGGGAGGAGGCCCCGGGGAAGACCCAGGACACGCTGGAGGGACTATGTCTCTCAGCTGGCCTGGGAACGCCTTGGAGTCCCCCCGGACGAGCTGGAGGAAGTGTGTGTGGATAGGGAAGTCTGGGCGTCTCTGCTTAGACTGCTGCCCCCGCGACCCGGCAACGGATGAAGCGGAAGAAAATGGATGGATGGATGGAGGGGGATGTGGAGGAGTAGTTTTAAAACATATATATTATTATTTTCGGTGTATGTTTATGTAATTATCCTTAATGCCCTGCACATTGTTATGCATGTTTGTTTTTATATTTAGGACCCCTTTGAAAATGAGAAGATTCATCTCAAGGGTCTTTCTTATATAGACATGATCCATGGGCGGCACGGTGGCTGAGTGTTTAGCACTCTTGCCTCTCAGCAAGAAGGTCCTGGGTTCGAATCCCGGTCGGACCAGGGCCTTTCTGAGTGGAGTTTGCATGTTCTCCCCGTGTCTGCGTAGGTTTCCTCCGGGTACTCCGGTTTCCCCTACCACTAAAAATATGTCCAATAGTTCTGGCATGCGCCTCCTGTACTGGCGACCCCGCTCCCATCTCTGTGTGGAGTGGGAGACAAATGCCCAAAAATTAACAATTGTAAACCGCTTTGAGACTCAGATCTGCAGTGAAAAGGCGGTATATAAATAAAAACTTACTTACTTACTTACTTACTAACTATTACAGATGTAGATGTTACGTACCGTTCCTTTAAGGTGAAATCTGGTTAAAACATTGACATTTGTGAACTTCTGAAGCACAACTGAATAAAACCAAACTAAATAAGAGAAAGGCCGATGAGAACAGTTTGTCTGTGATGGTCAAATGAAGCTAGCTCTGTTTAGCATTCACATGCCGCAGCTTCAAAGGTCAGCGTCAGATAATAGAGAAGCAAAAGAACATTTCACTCTCTCGCCTTCAGACGCTTTGGCCTCGCTCCACAGAGTCCAAAGAGTCCACAGAGAGTCCACAGAGTCCAGAGAAGAGTCCACAGAGAGTCCACAGAGTCTACAGAGTCCAGAGAGGAGTCCACAGAGTCCACAGAGTCTACAGAGTCCAGAGAGGAGTCCATAGAGTCTACGAAGGAGTCTACAGAGAGTCTACAGAGTCTACAGAGTCCAGAGAGGAGTCCACAGAGTCCACAGAGTCTACAGAGTCCAGAGAGGAGTCCATAGAGTCTACGAAGGAGTCTACAGAGAGTCTACAGAGAGTCCACAGAGGAGTCCACAGAGTCCAGAGAAGAGTCCACAGAGTCCACAGAGTCTACAGAGTCCAGAGAGGAGTCCATAGAGTCTACGAAGGAGTCTACAGAGAGTCTACAGAGAGTCCACAGAGAATCCACAGAGTCTACAGAGTCCAGAGAGGAGTCCACAGAGAGTCCACAGAGTCTACAGAGTCCAGAGAGGAGTCCACAGAGTCTACGAAGGAGTCCACAGAGGCCACAGAGAGTCCACAGAGGAGTCCACAGAGGAGTCCACAGAGTCCACAGAGGAGTCTGCAGAGGCCACAGAGAGTCCACAGAGAGTCTACAGAGGAGTCCACAGAGAGTCCACAGAGAGTCCACAGAGAGTCCACAGAGAGTCCACAGAGAGTCCACAGAGAGTCCACAGAGGAGTCCACAGAGGAGTCCAGAGAGGAGTCCACAGAGGAGTCCACAGAGGACTCCACAGAGAGTCCACAGAGTCCACAGAGTCCACAGAGTCCACAGAGTCCACAGAGGAGTCCACAGATGAGTCCACAGATGAGTCCACAGATGAGTCCACAGAGGAGTCCACAGAGAGTCCACAGAGAGTCCACAGAGAGTCCACAGAGGAGTCCACAGAGGAGTCCACGCTGATCTGCTCTGTGGATCACGACTACTATTACTACTACTACTACTACTACTATTACTATTACTACTACTATTACTATCACCCATCTCTGTGTGGAGTGAGAGGAAGGGAAATTGCTTTGTGACTCAGGTCTGTGAAAGGTGCTGTATAAATAAACTGACTACTTACATGATTTATTTCCTCATTGGTTTGAATGGGATCCATCGACATGACAGCTCTGGGAGTCCTAATGTCAGCACAACTGAATTAAATTTGAATCCTCACTTTTAAAAGTTTATTTACAGGTAAAATAAAAGTGTGATAAATGTCAATGAGCTGTTTGACCAAAGTCATGTTTTATAATCACAAAGGCTTCAGGCTGTTTGCACCGTCTCAGAAAGATGAAAATCAATGTTGGTAAATTAGCTGTTTGGCTTTTATATTAGGCAAATACAACATGAGCACAGAGCAGGCGCAGAATCTAGAGCGGTGAAAACCACAGAGAAATGAACTGCATGTTAAACTCATATAAATATATATCTTTAGTAACGGAAAAACGGCCAAGAGAGATTCCAACGTCTGTGAAGAGAAAACAGATTCCACTTGAGCAAACGCAAAGAGCTGACAGAATAAAAAAAAGTCGCAATCCCATAATATATAGTTTTGGGACACACTTCAGTTCATCTGCGTAGATACAGTACAATACATTCATTAGCTTTCATTAAGTATTTGTATTATTGACTGTAGACGTAGCCACTGCAAACCCCTGTGCACGACCAACGATGGCCAGAACTAACTCCAGAGAACTCCCCCTCTGAGTCTTTTGGACCCGTGGATTCTCCCAGAGCTTAAAAAGACCTCCCGCTTCCCAATCTGAGTACCTTTTTTTTATATAGCACCTTCACGGACCAGAGTCACAAAGCGCTTTACAATTGTTGAGGGCATTTGTCTCTCCCTCCACACAGAGATGGGAGAGACGTTGCCATATAGGAGGAGCCAGATGTTTTTTTTACATATTTTTGGTGGTAGGGGAAACCATAGCACCTGGAGGAAACCGGAGCACCTGGAAGAGACTTACGCAGACACAGGGAGAACATGCAAACTCCTTACAGAAAGGTCTGGAGGTGGAGTCGAACCCGCGAGCGCTAACCACTGCCTCACCGGCTGACACTGGAGACTTGTCAGAAGAATCACAAATAAAAACGTTGCCATCTCACCTGGAGCCCGCGGAGCCCCAGCAGCTGGCTCCTCCCACAGCAACTGGCTCCTCCCACCTGATCTAGCTCCTCCCACGCCCGAGTCACCAGAGAGCTCTTGTTTTCCGACTGAGTGCCCGTGGAAAGAGCTAATGACATGTTAATGCTGACGTGCCGCGCACCAGGGAGGCCAATCCCAATTACCTCTGAGCGGACGTGCCCTGTGCGCATTGTCACACAAACAGAGCACGGTAAACACGCAGAGGGGAACTGCCAACCAACGGGGGGGGACTGCCAAAGGTGTCACGGCCTGTAAGGAAGCCGACCAACCCCCGCGTTCAACAATAATTACTCCTACTCACGACACATTTGTGGGTAAGTGCCGGTAATTGGCATAAAGGTGGCAGACGTGTCAACTTTCAAGCTGCACAGTATGTTGGATTGTTGAAAATAGACCTGGATTGGTGAGTAGTTTGATCATTTTTTACAGAATGGGTCATCATCAACTGATACATTTTTTTCAAAAAACCAAAATACATCCAAATACACAGTTTGAAAAGGGTTGGGGTTGGACGA